AGAGAGAGAGAGAGAGAGAGAGAGAGAGAGAGAGAGAGAGAGAGAGAGAGACTTTGGAGAGAACTAGCTGTGGGAATATAATAATAAGATGAATATTTGGAGTGATTTTCTTTTAGTCAGAACACAATGTTTTATGTTACTGTTGTACGTTGTACTGTATTGTAAAGCGCTCAAAGCCTGTGTACTTTAATTGGGGTTGAGTGCTATATAAATGTCATTTATTATTATCAATACCTCATAAATTATTTAGCAGTGTGAGTCTAGTTGACAGGAAGAACATTAGAATTGAAATGGTTCTTAAAATAATATTTCTTTATATGTGAAAATATATGTCAACTTAATAATATTTCCAAAAAATGTTTTTGATTCACCCTCTTGGTCTGGAATGTGCCATTTGTTCCTGAAAAATTATTGCTTTGTTCGCAGCTCATAAATCCCAAAAAGCAAGCGAAAAAGAAGAGTTACAAGAATTCAGGAGAGGTGAGGTTTCAAATGACCATTTTGAATGGCTGTTCTTGGAAGTTATTTTGAGTAATTGATAGAGAGGTTCTTTCATGATAGAAATGTTCTGGCTTGGTACTCTCATCTTCAAACTTTAACCCTATTAGCACCATAAATAGGTCAGCAGGTCAGCACAGTCGAACCAAAATGGCGGCCAGCCTATGGTTTCCCAGAACTGAATTATTTCAGTGTTTTTCAGAGGTTCAGGGGAGGTGGCAAAGAAACTGCTTTTGTTTTTTAAAAATCTAAGTGACATATTTCAATGGAATTTCACATACACTGAGAAAGATAGATGCTGAATGTAATGATTTGTATTTTATTTCCCTAAGCGGTTTGAAACGGTCATAGATTTTCCTTGGTTTTGAAAGCACTCTATCAGTTGCTATCACTTTGCCTTTGATTTTGGAGGTTCCAGTTCCCTGTTATGTTTGGCCATTTAACAGTCGTAGAAATTAGAGGGGATAAAACAGATAATGTTGATTCTTATCTGTCATTTATGTTCTTTACTAAATATACATTTATATTTTTCAGATTCAGATTCTGAGCTGTAAAATCCAACCTCAGTATTCCTTCTTGGACTTTGTCAAGGGCGGGTGAGAGTTGCTTATTTGTTATGTGGGGGGCGGGGGAGGAAGGAATAAGGGTGGAGGGGGAGAGGGG